ATTTAAAAGAATAATTAAATAAATGTTACTACACCCAAAACCCCCTTTTTTAAGTGCAGCTCAGCAGGACCCGTTTCACGTTGTCGAACCCCTGCTAAAGAATTTAAAGCCTGAAAAACATTTCATCTTTTGTTTCATCTCTTTTCACACTCTTGTAGCAAAATTCCTCTCATTGTCAGTGTGAAGCGATCAGTGAAGAATGACCTATGAAACCTGGAAATCAGAATGTTTGTTCAGTAAGAACAAAGCCTTTAGAGTCAATAAAACAAGACTTTTACTTTTTGCTTTGGGGATAAATAATGAGAGCAATAAAGTGTTTTTTTCCACAGAGGATGTTGCTTTTGGAGACAAAATACCATGTGGCCAAAGCCTAATTAGATAAGTTTGAACAATTAGTAAATGAGTTCAGAGCTGTCACAAGCAGCTTCATGGGTCGCTGGATTCCTGTGTTGTCTCCTCAACTATCACTTCCTCATCCTACTTTTTTCCCACCAAACCCCTCGCATGATGTTAGATTCTCCCCAACGTTGCACCATCTGGATCTGAAGCAAAGTGACAAAAACAGATTTACATAATTAAAGAATAGAGGTTTAAAAACAAYTCACAATTTCAATGTTTTGCTTTGTTTGTTTTGGTTGTTGCCAGGAAGAAAGATTTTTAATGCATTCAGTTTGCAAATAATTTTTATGTATTATATATATATATAAATTTGTTCAGGTATTTGAAAACATTTAGCACATTTTTTGACACCTTGTGTTTTGCCAAGTTTTCTTTTTTGAAACCTTGTACAAATACGCCCTGTTTTAATATTACAGATAAGATAAAAGATAAAACTAAATTCCATTTCCAAAAAAATCAGTAAGAAAAAAGTCCAATGCTTACTCATAAATGTCTTTTTGCACGAGATGTTCACATTTTGAAGCTTCTTCTCTTTTGAATCTTTATATGAGGTTGTATTTATGACTTGTAGCTGAGATATCCGTGTCAGGTGTTCTGGTTAGTGTCACTTCTGAACCTAAAGAAAAGACAGTTTTATCCTCAAACCCAACATGACCTTCACCTTCTCCCAACATCTTCCATTAGCTGAAACATCTGTGAGGGTTTCTGAGCATGTACTCCTACAATTGCCCACAGAGAGCTATACAAGATGTTTAGATTTGATGTATTTTTTTAAACATTTTCCTCATTCTTTCCAGATCATCTCATGGTTCAGACTAATTCATTGTCCTTTTTCTGACCTGATGTGAGCAGAACTAAAACTCTTGTTTTGTTTGTCAAACAAAATGAACAAATGCTGTAAATCTTTGGTCTTAGACAAAAATCTTTTTTGTCTAGAATACACCAAATTTTAGCTCAGTTTATATAAAATGTATTTGATTATAGGCCTTTTTTTGTTTGTTTTTGAAGGTGAATTAGTTGTGTCAGCCATCTTGAATTGGGTTGACTTCACAAACCAATCAGCTGTGTCTAGTGTTTCACATTTTGCAAACAGATAGACAAAGTTTGGAAAAAAAATGTTTAGCTGCTTTTGAGAGATGTTGACAAAACACACACACACACACATACACTCACAAAATCATCACAATTAGCATTTAGCCCGTAAAACTTTGCTGCTGCTGCTGCTTGTGCTTAAAGAATAGCTATGCGAGTCCATTCTCATGCCCCCGTGTCAAGGTATTGACGCATGATCAAGCATCATTATGTTGACACCGGGGGGTACCCCCCACGTGTCCGTTCTGTACGAGATGAGGCGGAGGAAGACGGTGTGTTTTTACAAGCCTAGGATTGCGCGAAACTAACCATCCTAAACCCTAATTTTAACTTCTACTAGCCTTGTAGAGCCTAACCCTGACCACAGACTCTAAAGTTAACCATTAACCCTGATCACTCATGTTAACCACAGACCCTAAAGTTAGCCTTTAATCCTGATTCCTCATGTTAACCTCATATGTCACGCAAACCCGGAAAAGCCGCTGTCGACAAGCGGGTACTCCCCGCGCGTCAACAAACCGTCTATATGTTACAAGTCCGACATGAGAATGTGTTAGCCATGCTGCTCTTCAGAACTAATTCTACCTTTATCTCACTGTTTCTTTGCTACAATTGCTGATTTTCCTTTAATGAACTAAAACTGTCTTAATATGTTGTTCTTTATTGTTGATGACTTTATTTTTTAACATGTTACGCTTTACTAGGGTGCCACTGTACAACTGGCCACAGGACTACAGATGAAAACTAGCCTTTGGCTAATTCTGGCATGTTACAGATGTACTGTTATTAATATGCAATAAATAAATAAATAAATAAAAGATGAGGTGGAACTCTCAGGGTTGGTGGAAGAGCTTGTGGAGTGTGGGGTGGAGCATGTTACGGTTTTGCTGCACTGGCATGGTGGCATCTTCATGTTGGACAGGTGGGGGGTGGTAGGGTGGTGGATACGGAGAGAGCAGAGGGTTGTCCGTACCTCAGAGAGATGGATAAAGAGAAGATGATGCATTAGAATGTGTTACAGGTTAGTTTCTGGCTCAGACTCTTTTTATCTTTATTCTTTTCCCTCTTTTCTACTTCCTGTTTCTTTCATTCTGCTCTGCCTTCTGAACCATACAAATTAGTTTCTGCAGTTCTTGCTTTTCTCTGTCATCTGCCTCTTTCTCCCATATTTTAAAACATTCCATTTGCTCCTCTATTTCACTAAAAACTAAGCCTTTGACTTGTTTCTGTAATAACTTGTCTCTTAAATTATCCAAGTCTCCTGTTTATCTTTTTTATCTTGTCCTTCTTTGAATTGTTTGCCTATATGTTCACCCGTGGCTGATTCTGACCTGATTTGCTGCAAAAGTCAGTTGCACCTTTAAACATTTCAAGTGCTTTTTCAATA